GGTAATTTACCGATACCGTACCGTTACCGAACCGAAACTTCGGTATACCGAAATGCGGCATACCGAAACTTCGGTAAGGTAAAGGTATGCAAATTTTGCATACCGAAAATTTTGGTACGGCAAAGGTATGAGAAAAAAATATAAGGTATACCATACCGAACCACCCCTAATTGATGTTACGTGCCTCAAGATCATTTGGATTATTGGATACATAAGAAGTGTAATCAAACAACATTAAACAGTGTTTACTAGTCAAACTTAAAAAAGAAATATATTAAATAAAAGTAATATATACTCCATCCGTTTCTATTTCTTTGATATAGTTTGACAAGTCAACATTTAAGGATTTATTTAGTAAGGGATAAATTTTACTGTTTGGACACGGTTTGACACTATTTTGTTTACCAAATGAGAAGTGTGACATCCATTTTGACACTTCTAAAAAAGGAAAGTGTGTCAAAGAAATAGAAAGGGAGAGAGTATATATATATATATATATATATATATATATGTATATGTGTGTATATATATATGTGTATATATATATATATATATATATATATATATATATAGGGAGCAGTTCCAATAAGAACCATGCTTAACGTGAGAACGTGAGAACCATGCACTTTTAACACATCTCGGTGCACTATGAGGCTCACCTATTGCACTTTTTAAACTTGGGTCAAAACGTGCCAACTTTATATAAGTGTGGAGACAAATTTGTAATTATTTCGTTAACACGAAAATGTGCAAGAAATAATCGATATAGTGCATCACAATTGCTTAAAAGTGGAGTTCTCACGTTCTCACGTTAAGCAAGGTTCTCATTTGATCCAAAATCTATATATATATATATATATATATATATATATATATATATAGAGAGAGAGAGAGATTTGGGATCATATACAAAGCCAACTTAATTTACAAAATACAAAGTTATCCTAACCGTCCATCTAACCCTTTTTTTTGTGCGCAGGTTTTAATTTTAGCCGCGTACGTGAGGGTGTTTTGGGGCATCGCATATCGGTCTAAACATGGAAATACAATCACGTTCCAGCTCTCTTCCCTTAATACTCTGTTTCCATATTTGCGATCAACACCACGTTCATGCTCGACTCAGACCTGCGCTTCACTGCTGCTTCCATTCTTGTATCGTTGAAAGGTCAGGATGTCATCAAACGCCGTAGAATCTGAATCAGGTTCGGTTCTATTATCTTTGTTTGAATACAAAAAAAAATCTTAAACCAGTTTTAATACCAACAAATTGCAAACGAACTTTGTTTTACTAAAGAAAATCTGAATTAACATTTAACGTCTAAGTTGGAGATGATGAAGTGCTATTTATTTAAAATGAATAAAATAATTAACAATTCTATTGTCGTATTATACTTCTGTGAAATTCATGGTTGTTGTTTATGGTTTGCGTTTTGCATGCACGAGGATTCACTGTAGTACGTTTACATTGCTTGCTTTCAAATATAGTTTGATTTTTTCATATTTTTCTCCTAGTCACACTTCGTACTTAAATGCAAGAATACTTTAATCATGGTGCAGTTCGAATTTTAAAGAGGTTTATTGTTATCTGTTTTTATTTTTATTTTTTAATCTCCAAATTTTTAATTGATTTTCTATTTTTCTTTATATAGGTGTGAAATGTAATTTAGAAATTTCTCCTGGTTGTACAAAGTATTGGACTCCTGACTGTCAACCGGATAAGAAACCCTCTGTTGGCATGCTCTTTCCTGATCTACAAGCCGGCATTGATTTTTACAAAGCGTATGCAGCTGAAGTGGGTTTCACGGTTCGTTCGCATACATTATCGAAGGCCAAGGATGGTCACCCTATGTTGAAGTATTTGATATGTAGTAGAGCGGGGTATAAGAATAATGGTCGTAGTACTGTTGTCCCCGCTGTTCCCGTTGTCCCCGATGTCCCCGTTGTCCCCACTGTCCCCGCTAGCGGTGTCGTCAATAATGGTGCTTCTGCATCCAAAGGTAGTAAGCAGAATAGAAAACGTGTGTCAAATAGAGTTGGATGCAAAGCACTTTTAACTCTAAAATTTGCTGGTAATGATGGTTTCTCTGTATTTGCGTTTGAGGAGCGTCACAATCATTCCATGTGTTCTGAACAGTCAAAACAATTCCTAAGAGTTAATAGGAATTTAGATCTCGGTCATCAAAAGTTTGTTCTGAATTGTTTCAGAGCAAATATTGGTACAAAGAAATCATATAGATTGTATAAGGAGACTGTAGGGGGTTATTCTAGCATTGGCGCGACTGCTGTGGATTTTAAGAACTTTAAGCGTGACCTTATGGCCTACATATCTGGAGTCGATGCCCAAATGGTCATCGATAAGTTATTCAGGAAACAAGAAGTGTGCTCTGCTTTTTTCTTTGATTATGATGTTGATGAAGATGACCAGCTCACAAGATTGTTTTGGGCGGATCCCATTTGTCGCAAGAACTATGCACTGTTTGGTGATGTTGTTTCATTTGATGCTACGTATGGAACAAATAGGTTTGATTACTTCAATTCGTGACTAATTGTTTCAATTTTATTTAATTATTTAAATTATGTGCACCTTTACCATATGTTCTTTGCACCTGTCATAACTGCATTATGCACATATTATTTGGATTCTGATTTGTACATCGTATTTGTTATATTGGCAGGTACAATATGGTATTTGGTCCTTTCACAGGTGTTGACAATCACAGAAAGTGCATTACGTTTGGCGCCGGTTTGTTAGCCAAGGAGGATGTCGATTCCTACGCTTGGCTTTTCACACGCTTCATGCATGCAATGGGACGCGAACCAACATGCATTATTACAGACCAAGACCCAGCTATGCGCATTGCAATTGAGAAGGTATTTTCAGCTTCCAAACACCGGTACTGTATGTGGCACATTATGTCAAAAGTGACACAGAAGGTAGGTCCGATCTTAAGTAATAATGAAGCTTTTATGTCATCACTGAATTCAATTGTGTGGAGCCATTATCTTGACACAACCCAGTTTGAAGATAAGTGGACATCACTCATGGAAGAGTATGACTTGACAGCACATGATTGGTTTTGTCACATGTTTGAGTTGCGTAGATGGTGGATTCCCTCTTATTTTAGAGATACCTTTATGGCCGGTTTGCTTCGTACCACCTCGCGCTCTGAGAGTGAGAATTCCTTCTTTCGGGAATTTACTAACCCACACTTTAGTTTAGTTGAATTTTTCATGCAGTTTGAGAGTGCAATGGATGCACAGAGGCATAATCATGACAAATTGAATTCTGATTCAGAGGCATACATTCCAGATCTGAAGACTCCTTTAGCAATGGAAAAGGCAGCCACAGATGTTTTCACGCGTTCCGTTTTCTATGACCTGCAAACCGAATTATCTTCAGCGTGTTTTGCATGTTGTGTGATACATGTGGATGGCCGTGATGGTGTTTTTGACTATCGGATTTGTGACGAAAGGAATTTGGAGTTTAAAGTTCATTTTCAAATGTCTGATATGAAGGCGGAGTGCAGTTGCAAATTCTTCCAGCGGATTGGTTTGGTTTGTCGTCACATCTTTCTTGTCTTAAAGGACTCGAAAGTTGAACAGATTCCAGAACATTTTGTTAATACCCGTTGGTGTAAGAAGGGTTTAATTAAACCGTTGTCCGAAATCTCTGATTCTGTATTTCAGCAATGCATCACGCTAGAGGAGAATAAGATGTGTGTGAACTCTTTATGGTCTGATATATATGCATGCATGGCTCTCGTTGAAAATAACCCAAGTTACTTGCAGCAGTTTTCAAGCATTATTAAAGATCAAAAAGAGATTCTTCTTTCCCTTCAGAGTGGGGTTGCACAGTCATCAACGAAGCAGTCGGTATTTGAGTCCTTTTATGGTTCTGCTGCGCCTTCTATCGTCACAGTTCATCCTCCACAACAAGCGAAGAATAAAGGTTCAGGACGTAGGATCAAGTCTTCCAAAGAGATTTCTATCCAAGAATCTAAACGTCCCAAGAGACTTTGCCGTTCATGCAATGAGATGTGCCATCATGATAGCCGGAATTGTCCGTTGAATAAATAGCTAGTATTGTTTAAGATCATGGTTTTTATTGCGTAATGGATTATCTTTGTTTTTTTTCCCAGTGGATGTAAACTGTCGACAAATTATTCTTGATGAATCTTTTTTTTTTATAAAGTATCCACCTCGTTAATATCTTTGCTGCTTTATACACAATATTGGTATGCATATTCGTATTCACTTATATGCACCCTGTACTTCTACACTATTGTGCTGTCTTGAAGTTTAGAAATTTATAAATTGTATGAGTCACACATGCGTGTTTTGAAGTTATGATCATTGGTGTAGTCTTCATTTCTTTCCTAACAATTTTTTAAACAATAAATTGGCCAGACATTTTTTTAAAAAATCATACGTAAGTTTTTACACAAATTTAATGACAGAATGTGACGTATTGTCAAGTGGTTTTTTAAACAAAAGTAATGACATTGGTTGAGTAAGTAATTAAAACCATCAATGCATGAATATATTGTCAAATGCACACTGTCATTCATATGCACACCAAAATACATTCATGTGCATCTTAACTCCTTGTTGAAAAAAGAACAATACCATTAATGATATGCCACACATAATGCAATCAAAAACATATTCACATACACCCATTGCTTAATTCAAACACATGATACATATTCCACTAAACTCATCTGCATCTCAAGTACTTCACTAAGATATCAAAAATCACATGCTTGTTTACCAACAATATATGCACCTAAAATCAATTTCAAATGCACCTAACGTCTCTCTTTGCATAACAATCAATCTTCATCTGCATATTAATTCCATGACCCAAAAAATGAATAATCATTTGAAAACAAACCCAGTCTGCATTTATTTCACAGTTCAATTGCACCTTTACGTAATGTCTTTTGCACCATAAAAACAGAATCTAAGTTATTTCTAAGTTTTTTCAAGTGCACCATGCATTTACAAAGCTTCATTGTAAACTCATGTGAACCTGGAACATATATTAAAACCAACTATATTCAACGTCAACTTTCACACACAAATAGTAAGCATAAATATGTTTTTTATTAAAAATAATGTGAATAAGTCATTGTAAACTGTAATTTTAATATAGTCAAACTGATGTCAACTTCAAATTTCGTTGAATTGATTATTTGGGCGCTGCTCCCTTCTTCTTCTCTCCCACCTTTTCATTCTCTTCTTTAGCTTTCTTGAGAAAATTCTTTGCCTTCAGCAAGTTTGAATGCATGTGCTCATTCTTCTCATTCAGGAGAATTGCAGAAATGTACTTCACGCGTAACGTCCCTACCAGTTTGGTGTCGGTTTCCTTCAGCCCAATATTCCATCCTTGCAAGCCTTGACCTTGATATGTCTCCATATGCCGCATTGTGAAGATGCCATAGTCATAAATGTTTTTCGTCTGCCTCCACTCCATTCCTAGCCTCTTCGGTGTTGCCTTCCTCACTTTATCAGATTTGGTCATCATATTCCTTGAATCCATGTACTTCACAAACATATTTATCTGCACAAAGTTTTGCTTAGCCTTGTAATTTTCATATATCACTTACAAAATTAGAACGACAGTGCACCTTACCACAAGTACTAGTTACATAATTTTATTTCATACCACGTTTTGAGGCATTTCCCCGTATTTATCAAATTTGCGTACGCTAGCTGATGAACTGTCAATGATATCCACGCGCTTCAGCTTAGTATTCAGACAAATTACATAGCAGTGATGCACTTGCATTATCGGGAAGAAGAACTGCACCAAAATAACCATTTTTTAGAATTTACAATTTAATAGCAATGCATTATATTTCATTAAAACTGCATACCAAATCAACTTTTGAAAGTGCAGTGTGATCTTTAATTGCCTCCAACCCAAAGTCAATGGCTTCCGCAAAAAGTGTGTAAGCACGGTCTTCATTCAATCCCAGGTCCGCCTGTGTGTCAAGCTACACAACACAGTTCCAAAGTTGTTAAATCACACTGTCTTTTTTATACATTGTGTTCAAAATACAATTTAAAAATACATAAACAAAACATTTATTTTTTCGTGCATTTGTACTTACACAAGGCAAGACTTTAGCAAATAATCTACTTGTAGACTCACTGCTTCTAACTGTCTCTTTACAGTTAAGAATGAATGCCCAGGTATTGATTACACTTTCCTCGATGTGTCGACCATCCTTGATGCTCATCAGTTGCCCGCGGGTAAGCTGCAATTGGTTAAGGGCTTTGAAAATAACCTCATTCCTGTAGAGGTTGCGTGCAATAAGAAATCATTTGCATTCAATTTTATCATCCCCCATGTTTAAAGTTGAAATGAATTTTGTAATTCACATTGCACTTACGCATCTCCAGCAACGTCTAGAAGTATCCAATCACTCATGGCGCGTTCATCTTTCGTTATTGCAGCACTTAGATCAATAACTCTTCTTACGTAGGGTGATTTCTGGGTTGCTGCAGCCGTTTGTTTTCTTCTTAGCTGGCCCAATTCTTCTGTCTCTTCAATGTCCTGTTGGCATCAATGTTTTAAAAAAAATTACATAAATACTACTTCTAAGTTTTCAATTCTAATAACTGATTTTTGTAGTTTCTGTAATTACCTTTCTGATTTCCAGCACATTATTTATATTTGAGCTTGATTCACCACCAACTGCTAATATTTGCTCATTTGAAGGCATCTGCACACTTGCATCGACTTTTCCCTTCCCCTTTTCATTTATATTGTTCTTCTCGAACCCCATTAGAGCATCACCGCTTACTTTATTTGGGGGATCGCCTTGTGTGAGACCTATACTAAAGTTTGGCATATCTTCCCTCCTTTGAAGAACCTTTGTTCTCTTTATACCGTCCACCTCAGCTTCAGCTAATATTTCAAGGTTGACTGGGTTTGACCAAAACACCTCCATCTCCCTGTCCATCTGTGTAGGTGTGGCAAAATCCGGAGAATTTTTCTTCTGTAAAACAGCCACGAGCATATTCGCCGCTTGCCCCAACTCTTTCAACTCTTCACTGCCACGAAGTACATCGGGAGATGCATCTAACATATTCATGATGTCAGTTGTTGTCTTAACAAATAAGCTGGTCTTATTAGCAAAGCGTTGCATAACGTCCTGTCATTTGCAAAAAAAAAAAAACTTAGGCATTTGGTAACTTAGATACAACACTCTTGAAACAAGGTAGACAAATGGTTCTTTAATAACATTCCTCTTAAAGAATAAAAAAACTCTGCACATTCACTAATTCATAACCATGCAAGGTATAAAAATAAGTGGACCAGACATGTAGTCTCCTGCAAGCACATAAATGCCATAATTTACTATACCTCTTTTGCACCCGTTGTCGTCGAGGGCTGTCCCACATCCTCGGTTCTCTCTTCTGCGGTGACAGTTTTCCCCGTCCCTTGGTTCATTGTCATCTTCTCATCTACATACCCTAACCCAAATCCTCCAGCCTCAACTTCTTCAGATTCCCTCTCCCTCAATAACTGTGTGCTCCATCCCATTATAGCGGGAACCTTCCGAGGCACACTTCTTCTATATACTTCCACCCTATCCACATACAACACCTACAAAAAAATGAAGAATTACTTTAACTTTGTCAGCGGTATTCATATGTATATTCTATTTGCAGTTTAAAACCAACTGTTTTGCACATTGTTTTCCGTCACACACAAATAACTTCTTATTGCCTGACCACCTCCATTTCACCTAACTGTAAATGCACTCTCAGAAGCTCTAATATATAACTCAATCACTAATACATCAGTATTATGAACAAATCTTAAACTCATGCACCACACATTTTATAAAACTGCATATTCAACTACCTTAATATGCACAATCACGTAATGTTTGCACAGTGAACATTGATTTGCTTCTTTACGTCAACCATTTTGCATATTAGGTTTCCATCACACAAGTTTTACTTAATATTGCATTACATTGCACTTTCAGTAACTCCAAATGCACTTTCAGTAACTCAAATTCATCAAAAAATCAATAATTCATCTGTCTTAATTCTCAATCTTAAAGTACTGCACCTCACCTTATACAAAAGTGCATATTCAACTACGTTAATATGCATAATCACATAATACATGCACCACACCTTTTCTAAAATTGTACCCTACCTAAATACCACACAAACTGCACATTGAACTACCTACACATATTAAAAAACAATGCACTCACCATCAATAAAAGGAGTGGACCAGTGAATGCCTTTTCCTTTCCCTTAGCCCATTCTCTTTTCTTCTCAATTAGAGCCTTTATCACATATTCGCACCAATTTAAATCTTTGATTCCTTTTGTGTCCTTCAAATTGTTTATGAAAGAGCAGTTTATATATCCGTTCCTTGTATTCTCTATCAAGGTCGATATAACGAGAATTATGAAGTTTCTCACAAAGCATTCTCCACCTTCCTCACATCTTAGTATTTCACGCACCACCTCTATTGGCAAAACTTTATCCTTTCCTCCGAAAGAAGCCCTCCACTCATCCAGCATTTCGCTTTTATCTCCTTTCCCCTTTTTTAACACTGCTTTGTCACCGCGTGGAAATCCCAGAACCAGCTCCACATCTTCTTCTGTGATGTGAATTTTCCTTCCTTTACCTAACTTTAGTGAACAACTAATTGGGTCAAAGTTGTCCACAATCCAATAACCAAGCTTAGACGGCAACTCTCTGATTCCTAGGTCTAACAAAGCCCCAAATCCAACTTCACGCACTTGTTCTCGCTGTTTGTGACTCAATTTCGAAATAGCATTCATCACCACATTCGGTGATGATCTAGTGTAGAGGCTGTGGTACTTTTCCTTCAAGTCATTCACAACAGCCCGCTTCTCCTTCTTCTTTGGTCTGCCCTCACGCTCTTTTTCCTTTCTCACCACTTGTTTTGGTAAATTGACAAAATCTTCATCACTGTCAGCTTCCTCACATTCATGAATGTCTGCCTCACTGCCATCTTCGGTATCAGGCACCACCACATCATTAACGTTTTGATAGCACACTTCCGTCTCCTTGTTTATCCTTCCACTCCTCCTTCTTTCACCACTTTCTTGACCAGTGCTTCTCTTTCCACGAGCAGCCTTAGATCCTGCACATTGAAAAGAGCATTTCATTTAAAATTGAATTAAATGAATTAGCACACCATTTTAATACTCTGTTTGCACCCATTAACAATATGGACTGCATATTATATGTATTTGCACCCCTTAACAGTTCACATCTATGAAAGAAAAAAGGACAAAAAATTATATATATATATATATATATATATATATATATATATATATATATAAAATGCAAATCAAAAAATGGTTTCGGCCATTGATTTGCCTAAATCGGACACACGAAATTGATTTGCATTTCGCTTTTATCTCCTTTCCCCTTTTTTAACACTGCTTTGTCACCGCGTGGAAATCCCAGAACCAGCTCCACATCTTCTTCTGTTTGCACCCATTAACAATATGGACTGCATATTATATGTATTTGCACCCCTTAACAGTTCACATCTATGAAAGAAACTTGGTTGTAATCAAACCTTTCAACTGGCCTCTTGATATGCTCCCGGATTTCTTGGATGCAGCAACTTTTGCATTTTCCTTTTTCAACCTTCTCTCTACTTCTTTTTCCATCAACTCCATTCCTAAATTGTCTTCTATAAATACACCTGCATTTGAGGATAATGTTTTGTCATTCATACACCATAAAATATTCAATACAACGAATATTTACTATTTTAACCTTGAAAGTCATGTCTTGATTTGCTCCTACTTTCCTCTCGCTGCATGCTCAAAGTCTTTTGTTTCTCAAGCTTAGAACGTAACTGCATGAGCCCAGTAATCTTGTCTCCTAAAATTTCAATCGTATCTCAATTTCAGTAGTTCAAACAAATGAAACAATGAAAGTATAAATTTACTAACCATCCGGCTGCACTTGCACTTGTTTCCCCTTATTAATCACCCTCTTTTTCTTTGCAATACTACTCCCACATGGAGCTGCTTTCTTTCTCTTTTGTAGAACAGTTTGGTGGTTTTGTCGAGTTCCTACTTAGTTAGTTAGATTAGTTAGTACACTGTCATTCTTTTTTTTTGTACACTGTCATTCATATGCACACCAAAATACATTCATGTGCATGTTAACTCCTTGTTGAAAAAAAAACAATACCATTAATGATATGCCACACATAATGCAATCATGAACATATTCAAATACACTCATTGCTTAATTCAAACACCTGATACATATTCCACTACACTCATCTGCATCTCAAGTACTTCATTAAGATATCAGAAATCTCATGAATGTTTATCAACAATATATGCACCTAAAAACAATTCCAAATGCACCTAACGTCTCTCTTTGCATAACAACCAATCTTCATCTGCATATTAATTCCATGACCCAAAAAAGGAATAAGCATTTGAAAACAAACCCAGTCTGCATTTATTTCAAAGTTCAATTGCAACTTTACGTAATGTCTTTTGCATCATAAAAATTGAATCTAAGTTATTTCTAAGTTTTTTCATCCACACCCAACCATTTTTTTATCTGCATTTTAACCAGCATACACAACTTCCTCAAACACAAGTCAATTGCACCTTTAGCTAAGCTATTTTGCCCCAAACAATACACATATAATCTTCACTGGCACCCTTGAATACTTCTAAGTTGCCTCAACTGCACCCCACGAATCTTAGTCTGCATACCATATCAATTAAATTGCACCAATAGGTAATCCCTTTTGCACCAATAACTAATCTACTCAAACTCAATCACCAAACACGAAAACAAAAACCAACATTCATACTAAGCTTAGTATAATGCATTGCACCTTTACCTAACCCATTTCGCAACAAAATTTTGTATAATCAGGATACTCAGTCACCAAACACGAACTCAAAAAACAACATTGAGACTAACATTATTCTCGGTGCAAAATTCACTTTTCCCTCAAATTCAACTCCATATTAATAATTATATATTACACATTACTAAATTCAACAAAAACAAAAACACAGTAAATATGAAGTCCATCACAAATGCATCCACACATCCCTCTTTGTGCATCTAACATACAAATTTCTCCATGCAAACAGATTAATCTAAACAACACAAATACCTTCTTCGCACGCCAAAGCGGCTTGTCGCAGAGCATGTTCTTCTTGAACTGAAGCCATTTGCGCAAATGGAATTTCACCGGTCGTTATTCTTCACAAATGACGTTCTTCGTCTATGCTGAAGCTTTCGCCGCTCTCAAGGAGATTTTCCAGCTTCTCAGACCTTTGCTAGTTGGAGCATTAAACAACCTCTGCATCTTTCCTTTTTCTGATTTGCTATACATGGGCGGTTCGAATCTACGTGGGGATTGTGCGCAAGAGGGATTTCCTTCCTTTTCCGTATTATGGCGGTTCCATTTTAAAAAAAATCAAATGACATCTTTATCCTTTAATTACTAAACGGGTTTTAAAATACCCGGTCTCCTCCTTCGCGGCTCACGAAAGGTAACGGTGAGGAAAATGGTTTCGGCCATTGATTTGCCTAAATCGGACGCACGAAATTGATTTGCATTTTGTATGGGGAGAAGTGTTTGTATGTGATCTCCTCCCTATATATATATATATATATATATATATATATATATATATATATATATATATATATATATATATAAGGAGCAGTTCTAATTGAGAACAACTCTTATTGTGAGAAATGAGAACTTATCCTAATCGCTAATCTTAGTTAATAAACGGATGGATGATCTCACGTGCACCTAAATGTGGTGTGGATAGGCATAGAATATAATATCTATCTCCAAAGAAATTAATTTACGTAGGTTATCTAGGGGCAAAAATGTCATAGTGAAAATAGCATTTATGATGAATTAGTGGGTTACGTATCTTTGCTTCCCCAAAATATGATAATTCGTTACATAATTAAAGTTGATTATCAAATAAAGTTGTAGCTTATAATAATAAAATCGAACTTGCCATATATATGATTTACGAATGATCATTTAACATTCAAGAACTCATACAATTATACAAGATATAATGCACGTGAATCATTAACAAATGCACAATACATATATAAAGCACCGAACTATGTATGTTAAGCATAAATATTAGTATCTCGGGCACAATTCAATTCAGAACTAATTAATATTATTTAACACATGAGGACTTCATGCAACTTAAGCTACTATATAACACACAAGAATTGATTTCTAATGCATAATACGTATATGCGGTAGTGCGGTACAATAAGTATGTACCGCATAAAAATCAGTATCTAACACACAACAATCAATGTTTAATGCACATGAATTGACATTTTACTCTTAGTCGGGATATAACACACAATAATTGGTATTTGATGCACAAACGTTTGGAAAATACATCACAATTTAATACACGGTTTAATTACACTTGTTTGATGCACTAAATATATGTACTTAATTGAATTGCACAATACCTAATATCTAACACACAAAAATTGACAAATGTTGAAATACACATGAATAAATATTTAATACACTAAATCATAATTTGATGCACGAGTTAATAATTATCCTTTGATGCATGTCAATGTAGATACACAAGAATAATTATTTAATGCACATCCGCATATGAAATGAATATATATTAATGGAAAGAAACGACAACGCAAATGTGTTAATTGCTTCCAAAATAACTTATTTTGTTCAATAAAATATAATATAGCTTCAAAAAGTCAAATTCCATCTAAAATTAAATACGTAGGATGCGAAACTTACATAGTGGTGGCCGGTCAAACACATACCAAATTAATCTACTCATGCATGATTACTAAAATACCCATTAATAAAAGATTAAAATGGTATACGGATGTAGAGAGATGAGTGGCTAGGATTTGTTCTCATTTCTCACAATAAGGGTGTTCTCATTTGAACCAATATATATAGGGAGTGGTTCTAATGAGAACACTCCTTATTGTAAGAAGTGAGAACAAATCTTAACCATACACTTACCAAAAAAATCCATTAATGTAGTATCGTTGGATGCTTATCACTTACCAAAAAATTAGGAAGTGAGATAAATGGTCAAATCATATAAAATGTTTTAGTTTAAAAATTGATTTAACTTTTTAAAGTATAATCTGATTTTAACAAAAATTATATCAAATTAAATAATTTTTTATTATCTTTCATATGACACCAATATGTCATATATAACTTTGTTTTAAAAAAAGTATAATATGTACTCCCTCCGTCCCCTTTTAAAAGTCCCGGAGGAGGGTGACACGAGTTTTAAGAAAAGTGGGTTTGTGTGGTTGATATTAATTGATAAAGTAAGAATAAAGTAAGAATGATTTTGAGTCAAACAAACTTTACCAAATAAGGTATGAGACAATTGAATAGGGACATCCCAATAAGGTAAAATGAGACATTTAAAAGGGGACGGAGGGAGTATACAATTAACCACATAACATTTTCAGCTACCGCATGTACAAAAATATGTATCATACACACAACCACTAATGTCTAATGCACAAGAACCATTATCTAACACACAATACATATAAGAAAAATTAAACCAGATATCTTAAGCAGAAAATCCAATCTCTAGTGCACAAAGAACATTATCTGACACACAACAATTAAAAACTAATTAATATAATATCTAATGCATAAGGATTTCACATAACTTAAACTAATATATAACACACAAGAGTCAATATCTAATGCACGAGAGCCAATATAAGATGCATAATCATCAAGAATAAATACACATGAAAAAGTATCGTACATCTAATGCTTATAATAGTGCACAATAATCAATATATATGTAATACACGATGAACTAGTTAATAATCATCCTTTGATACATGTTGATCTAAATACACAAGAATAAATTTTTAATGCACACAGAATGAATACGTATTAATTCAATGAAACAAAAATGATAATGTACTAATTGCTTAAAATATATACCTTATTTAACTATTGATTTAAATACGTAAGTGGATAATGATGGCCGGTCAAACACTCACAAATTAATATACCCAGGGGCGGACCGTAGTACAGACCCAGGGGGCGGTCGCCCCCCAACAACAAAAAATTTTAGTGTATATATATAATAAAAAGCAATTTTCGCCCTCCCAAAAAATATTTTGTTTAAGTTATCGCCCTCCCAAGAAATATTGTGTTTAATATTTTGCTTTACTTGTGTCTTTTTAAAGCTTTAAATTAATTTAAAATGACCTTAAATAGCTGTATTCAAATTTTGGTGATGTACCATTTCGCTCTCTAGGACATGGGTAGGAATCACAATTTTGCTATGGCAACTTTATCATTAAATTGACATGTTATATTTAATTTCTTGCTTTTTGGTTCCATAAAAAATCTCACATTTGATCTTGTATGTAATTGAAATTGTGATTTCTCAATTTACTTTTCAAGATATTATTTTCTATAATAAATTAAAATTATATATATGTAGTATATTCGAGATAGTGGATGCAACATTTTCCGGAGATGTTCGCTTTCCTATTAGTGCCCCTCCAAGGTCTCCGAGATGGTTCCGCCACTGCGTATTAACATATTGCTTTAATAAAGTTACTAATTATTGTTAATGTATGTATATAAATCGTATTAACATACATACATACATACAACATTTTATTCATTCGCAAACAACTTACTAATATAATTCTTCTACTCTGTATTAAACTTTTTTTATAATGACAAGTAAATCTTTTCTTAGCTTCTATGATCTCAATTCTATTGATTATTCAATGATGACTTTTAAGTAACTTTACTTAGAGATTTGGGGTGTTCTTATTGTCCAGAGTTTCTTTGTTTACGGGTTGATTGCATGAATTCTATTTAATTTGTGTTTCAATAATTTAATTGTTATCATTTATGGTCCGGAAGCTAGGAGTGTTGAGTATGTAGTTTTGTTGATGACTAACCATGCAGGTGGAACGACGGACATAACCGCTCATAGGCCCTTAAGGAACAAACGACAGAATTATCCTTAGGTCCAAATGGACATTATTATTGTGTTGTTCACTAACCATGCAGGTTCTATAAAAACCATGGATAGAACTATTCCAAGTTCTTACATCTATGTGCTTAAAGTAGGGTGTATGCATGATATACGTAAATTAACTTGCATGCATAAATTGATTAATTTTTATGGAAATAAATCCCTCCTTTATGACATTAGTGAGATACACGTAGCATCATTTAAATTGACTTGCATGCATAAATTGATTAACTTTTATGGAAAGGAATTTTCCCTTTTAAATACTTATGACCGTAGCATGCTAATAATTTGAAAATGATCATGTCAATTGAATACCTTTTGGAAATATCCTAGAAGAGGAAAGTTCCCTTTTGAAAAGGAAAACTTATTATGGCCGTTGCTCCCTTGTTTGATAATTTCCAGGCTTTTGACCGAAGCCTGTCTTATTTGGAAATAAATTCGAAATGCTTGGAATCTTTATTAACCTCACGTAAGGTGATGCATGATTAATTTGCTACCTTGATATTTTGGTTGACTACCTAATATGTTGAGCTTGGATATGAGAAATATTATGAAAGGAAAGCAATTCAAAATATCAAGGCAAGTCCCAAGATTAGAAGATCATCTATTCAAAGGAAGAATGCTCCAACGGATTCAAGACAGCCTATATAATCGAAGAAGCAAAAGAGAAAGGGCAGCCTGACCGAGACAAAAATCTGAAGAGACATATTCACAAAAGAAATATCAAAGTCCAAGGCGTCTGAACCTGCTCACTCGGAGTTCTAGATATAGTTTCTTATTTCCCTTCTTCATATTGTAATGGGGTTTTGAGGATTGGCTAAGAGTAGCCTCCTCGGGTTGGTTTGTGTGTGTGAGAGCTTTGTTGTAAAGCTGAGAGGCTCTCTACCCACAAGGTAGAGCTAGAGACGTAACTCTTCCTAAAGAGGATTGAGTTGGGGTGGCTCAAGGGTAGACTAGGAGAGTTTCCCTTGTAATCATTCAAAGGCTTTTTAGTGGAGTTGTTAAAATTCCTCCGAGGGAGGTCGAGGTTTTTTAATCCCTTTGAGCCAATGGATTTTTCCTTGTTAAATTCTTGTGCACTTTACTATTTCGCAATTCCCTATATCCCACACTAGAACTCGGCGAAAAACTGCCACGGTTCCACACACAAACAATTCACCCCCGTCTTGTGTCTCTAACCGTTTTCATCAAGGAGTATGATTGCATATAGAATAATTAGTAGAAATATGAATTATTTATGATACTTACACACACATCTTACCATGCGGTAAGAGATTCCTGCGATTAGAGAGCATGTACGTCAGCTCATCTGGCAACGATATAGTCTATATCGCATAAGAGTTGTACATACATATGTTTACAGATAGTGTAATATTGTAATAAGTCATTACTGTTCTTATAACCATTTTATTTAGTCCCTCATGCTCTTGGGTTAACAAAGAAGTCAATTTGCAAATTAAGTTGCACCAAATATTTAGCCTTGTATCAAGTATATAATGAAAATCATTTATTCTTACACTATTGCTTTTAAAAAATCATTGAGTTTAAATTCTTAACCTGTGAAATTCCTTTCAAAAAATATAAAATTATATATAAAGGTAGCCTACACAACTATAATAATTTGTTTTAAAAAACTACTTTGGCTTCATCTGTTCCTTACCCTATGCCCCATTAAATTCTCACATAATATGGCATCTCTTACTTTGGCAAATTTTTTATTTCCTTGAGGTAATATTATTTTAATATTGGGCATAAGCTATCGCGCCTTGCGCGACCAAACGCTATTAAAATTAGATAATAGGGAGTATGTAGTTAAAAACCTCTCCAATGCGTGTAGTCTCTTACGGAGTGTAGAAAGCCAACCATAAAAAAAGTGTAGAAACTAGAAAGCCTTAAAGACCTGCTTACTCACCAAGTTGTAGGGTCCTTTGAATTCAATTTCCCTAGCTGCTGCGTATATTATCGGATCCATTCATCAATTATCAAATAAGTAGATGCTTTCCGCCTTTATATTATTTGGAATTTAACTTCATTTTATTCCTATTTAAAGAATGAACTCTAAAAAACTATTGACACTTTGAAAGTGTATTTTGAAATAAAATAAAGGCATTAAAATATTTTTTATGCTCTTACAAATGGCACAAGTGGCATTTTCATCTCCATACTAAAAATTTTAATTTGTATGACATCAATGGCAAATCAAGCTACTAAACCAAAGCTAAGTAACATGGTCACTTGATTTGATTAAAACTAAACATTGCTTTATGAATAATATCATCATCCCTCGAAGTACGTATTTATGTAGTTTATTTAGGAGAATAAATAGCAAAAAGCCGAAAACCAAAGGATATTATACCCTAATTTAAAGATCCAATACTAGAATCCTTATACTTAATAGCAATACAAATGCATCTTCACCGTTCATTTAGAATGATCTCCACCGTTTAAGTACTTTTTCTTTTTCACTCATTACGTGTTCTTCTTTTCTCTCGAAGCCTATTTTCTTTTTGCTATGAGACTTTCTTCAAATAATTCACTTTCTCAGCTTCTCCAGGCAGTACTTGACTTCTCAGCTCCTCCAGCCACCGGCGATTTCTTTCCTTCCATCGCTGCCAAGGATTCAATGAGAAGAACGTGTAGGGGAATGCTCATAGCGAAGGCCCGATCACCTCCTCTGAGGTCTTGAAGGCCGCGAGGCAGGAGATTGCCGGTAGGAAACCACTATATACACCAGCGCCACCAATGTTCGACGCCAAGGCTTTATCAATACCGTTCTTTACTTTCACAATTGACACTTTGATCTGTCTCAAACTCTATCAGCCAGACGAAGCTCGAACCTCAATCTAGGTTATTCTTCAATTTTATTACTTTAAATGGAAATGACAAATCTTTTTGGGACATCCAAAAAAGAAAATTTGGCAAACCTTTTCGGGACGGAGGGAGTAATAAATAATAAAAGTGAAAATAAAAAGAAGAAATAGAGTTACACATGATACACTGGTAGTGTACACACAACTATGTTTGTTTACCTTATATGCTTTTTTAAACAATGTTATCTACTTGCTGAGTGCACGCCACTTGGGGGTCGGCATTTTTACTCGGCCCGTTCTACTCGCTGAGTACACGATAATTTTAAATCGGTGAGTTACATGGCAACCACCAAGTGTTTTTTGGATTAAATCTAGATCTGGAAACCATATCTCCCTCAATAAAGACACCCCCCACACATTAGTAATATAGGCTTTTTAGTACTTGAGTAATTGGTGGAATTCCATTAACTTGGTTTTATTTTGACTGCAGCTAATTTATATGCCCAAGGATAGGGTCACTAATTCTCATCAAGGATATGATTTTGAGGAGTTTCGAAGTGAAGAAGATGTTGACTATGCACTTATTAAAGATTGTTTTGCAATTTATTTGATTTCATTTCAATGGTATGATCCATTTCTTTCTGGAATAATGCATGCGGTAAAGGTGTTAAATATGATCAAGTTGTATGGGAAACTGATATGAGCTAATGATAGGTGAATTTTGTTCCTTATGAATTTTGCTTTAGTGCTTGACACTGATTTGACTAAATTTCTAGATAAATTGTTTTGTCATTGATTTGTAAATGAATCCAAATGAGTTTGGTTATCGTTTATAAATTGGTATCCAAATGACATTAACACTGCTGTTTTTTTGGATTTATATTAGTTTCATACTTTTCACAGTTCTTTTAGATTTTATTAACAGAAAATTAACAATTGGTTTCGAAATAACATTGACACTGGTGTGCTCCTAATTTTTTTTGCATACTTTTCAAATTATTTAGATTTTGTTTATAGACAATTAAGCATGGTGTCTGAGAACGGTAATAGCGATCGTTGTATATAAACTCTCAGTTGAAAACCATTGTTCTGTTTATGCTTCAGGTTCCTTCTATAATGTAACAATCTCGGTTTAATAGCGATGTTGAATAATTTCATTTGTAATGCTTCGGGTCCTAAAAACTATTAATAAATAATGCGTTGATGGAGTTGTTCCTTCATGTGGCTTGCGATTTTATCTTTAGCATTTTACCAAGGATGCTGTTGTTGTATTTTACCAGGGATGCTAACCATTTTGCTTTAAAACTTCAGTTGTATGTTAGTTTTTATTTATTTATTTGAAAATTTTTCTTCCGCTCACAGTTATTTATACTAACAGGTCTGCTTTGGTGAGATATTTAGAACTTCAATTTTACCTAGAATGTTAACTATTTTGCTTTCAAAAGTTTAGTTTTATGTTGGTTTTTTATCTATCTGCAACCTTTTTCTTCCACTCATAGTTACGGAGTATTTATTTATACTTGGGAAAATGGAAACTAATAATCCAACCTTTTAGCGGTCTTCTTACAATAGTCCCACCTTTTGATTATTCATGAATAATCCAACCTTTGCACCTCATCTTCATTCACTGGTCCCTGACCGGTTGATGACCTACCATTCCAAGTTATTTTCTTATCTTTGCAAACCATTATACCATAAATCTTACCTTTCACAAAGATAATATTTTGCAATGATAAGAAAATAACTTGGAATAGCAGGTCATCAACCGGTCAGGGACCAGTGAATGAAGATGAAGTGCAAAGGTTGGATTATTCATGAAGAATCAAAAGGTGGGACTATTGTAAGAAGACCACTAAAAGGTTGGATTATTAGTTTCCATTTTCCCTTTATACTTAGGCTCCTTTGGTGTGATCTTTAGAACTTCTTGGCACAGAACGCGCGTGTGTTGGTATCAAACGCATCCTACCAAATTTTGAGACTATAGGGTCAACTCAGTTCTATACCACGTAGTATTTGTTTTGGCATTGTAAAATCATTAGCTTTGCTCAATAAAACCCCACCTCATTATTAGTTATGAATTGATCTCATGAGATAAATATCACTCAAGTGTGACTACCCTATTGGTTAAAAAGAAGCCTAATCTGTATTTGTAGCAACGTAATCTGTATGTAATAAATCATGTACAAAACACTAGATAAATTATAATTCTAATGATTGACCAATGGCATTCTTTAGGTGCTATAGTTCGTTGTGGAGTTGATACTGTTGGGACATGTTTACATAGCAAGAGTAATTCCAAAATTATAGTCTAACGATTCCAACTAGGGGTGGAAATAGGTCAGCCGACCTGTCAGGGGCCTATGGCCTGACTGGCTGACCTGTTTAGTAATCAAGCTAGGATTGGACTTTTCAAAAAACCCGTTTATCTAAATAGGTCAGGCCTAACCCAACTTTGAAGCCTTTTTTCCTTCACAGGCCGGCCTATTTATGTATGTATATATCTGTGTTTGTGTAGTTATATTTATATTTATTTGTATTATTTATATTTATATTGGTATACTCAACTATAGTAAAATCGGTATAATAGTATTTTTAGGGAGTGTTATAAATTAGAATAGAATACTATTTTAAATATACATAAAGTGTGTTAATAAGTTATTAAGGTAATTGAAATTCAAAAAATTTCAAGATTCAAAGTATATAGAAATTTATAAACTACTTAATAATACTCCATAATAATGTATAGGAAAAATTGAAAATAATAATCCCAACTATTGCCGGTCCGCTAATAATAATCCCAACTATTGATTATTTTTATATAATCCCAACTATATGGACCGTCTGCCAATAATGGTCCATAACCAAATATTACCTCCTATAAAAGTGAATTTTAAATAGAAATTAAGCGTAAAAATTAAAAGTTGGGATTATTTATAGGGATTACTTGCTATTTCTCTTCTCATCCACTTTAGAAACTACATGAATTTATTTACAGGGACTATTATTGGCGGAAGGTCCCTAAAGTTGGGATTATTATGAAATAATCGATAGTTGGGATTATTATAAGCGGACCGCCAATAGTTGGGATTATTACAATCAATTTTTCCTAATGTATATTAGACATCCAAAGCAAAACTAACGTATTATTAGATTTTTAGTGAATATTTAGGGTAATAAATTTTATACCTGATTAAAAGGATTTTTCACTTTTTCATTACAGCTGAACTCCAGTATTCGAGAGACTCTTACCCATATCAAATTGTAAAACCTCTCAAAAGACACGAGTTTAAGAAAGACATTCACCTCACAAAGCTGATGTGAACTCCGAGTCTCCTATGAGTAGCTGAGCAATCGATGCACAGGAAGATCCCATAAGTCACGGACGCCCACGTCGGGTTTTTTGCATTGCAATCAAAACACATCTAGCGAACAGAAGGGAATTCAAAAGAACACCACAACAACATCAGTAAATTATTTAGAAATAACAGATCTAGCAAAAGAACTGCCGGATCTGAGAAAGATCTATCAACACTAAATAAAAAATACAAGATCATAAAGATTTTTTATTAAAAACTCTATAAGCTACATGAATAAAAAATCAAAATTAAGAGAATATTCAGCACACGAACTTTGTTCTCGGCTTTCGCACGAAGCTTCCGAAAAATAGCATTTTTGTCGCTGAAACCCTCGGAAGCCATGGCCGAAGCAGTGAGAGAAACAAGAAATCCAATATGAGGGGTAAGAAAGAAAATTATTTTTGCTAACAATTTGAGAAAGAGATCGGCAGAGAGGCCTCCTCAGGGAACGACGATGCGGAGGCACCTGGACAGAGAAAGATGTGTAAAACCGCTAAAACGAGAAACAAAATTAGAAAAAGTTTCGTAAATAAATAAATTATAGTTGGGCAAATTTGTAAACAGAAGTATTGTCTCAAATACCACAAGTACCCCTGCTAGGGGTGTGCACCGGTCCAAAACCAGACCGGACTGGACCGGAATCATCATTTTCTATGGACCGAAGATTGGAACTGAATCTAACCGGTCCAGACAGGCCCGAAATTGAATTTTCCGGTACGTTTTGGCCCTAATTGTCCCGGTTTTAAAAAAAGACATTATTTTAGAGTGTTCTTAGCCGATCCCAAATTTTTTTATGAATAAGACTTGGGTGTTGTTGTTGTTTCAAACTATAATTTTATGTGCAGATTTGCTAAATAGACTAAATAATCGTTTATTAATTTTGGAATATAGTCATCAAAACTATTCAATCGTAGCAATTAGTTTCCCATAATAATTAAAACCACAATCTTTTGTGTAATAAAAACTAAATTACATCCAAAAATATACTACTTATGAACTACATGCACACCTACAAATAAAGAAACAAATAAAAAGCAATTTGAAAATCAAACAAATATAAACTACGATCATAGTAGTACACACCTACACATAAATAAACAAATAAAAACAAATTAGGAAATAATTAGATATCAAATATACACTCCGTATATATTCGTTTATATATATAATAAAAGACAAAAGTAAGTCATAAACATAATGACTAATGATACGGAACGAAGTATATATTTGACGGAACGGAACAAGAGGTCACCGGTCCATTCCGGTCCGGGCCTCTCTAATATATTATACCTACTCACTTGACTTTATTATGTAATAAATATTACTACGTACTTCATCTACAACTAAGGATAACACTTAAGATTATAAATAAACATTTATATATATTTTATCTTTTAATCTACATTTTAATCTTTTAATCTCATTGAATTGGCCAAAGTTACCGTAGAAACAGTTTTAACTATTTTCATATCATATTTCTTAGTATTTTACGAAGTATATTTTATAAATAAGTTTGCTACAATTCGTTAGGTGCATTTAGTTCAGTCCGATCACTCATAATTGCATCAATTTTATCAAACACTTTCATCTTTTAACCTCTGATCAACAATGGTCGTCTTTTTATAGTACTCCGTAATTCTTGATTGTTGCAAGTCCACCATTTCATTCATATTTCATAAGAAACTAGAAAGTGATCTCATTTGTTGCACATCATCGTCACGGAAAATGAGCAAGCCCTAAGAAGGCAAAAAACAAGTTAATCCTCACTTGGTGAGCCTTATGAGATTCCAAGTTCCAACTTATATGTCAGTTTGATTAATGGAGTGCCATTATCATCCTCTTGCACGCACTTTCTTACTACTACAATGGGCATAGTCTAGTAGCTAGAGTAGTACGTAGATGTTCCATTATTGCGGGTATATACTCTACAGGTGGCTACTATCAGCTTTATCATTAATATGCACCTTAAAATTATGTCAAGTATCTACCTTAGGATAAAGAGAGTTCATCATACTCCGTACTAATTAAATTATAACGCAAATTATACCCTACAACCGGCACACCATGAGGATGGTGTGCCCGGTCGTTTTTTAATTAAAACAGAGAGCGCCGATCTCCAAGAACTCCGGTGTTGGCCATCCCCGGGTCGCAGAGCATCTGCTGGGTCTTCTCCTTACTGCGCTTCTCCTTCCCCAACAGATATCCCAAATCCCAATTTGATTAGAAAGTAACGGTGATCGCTGGAAGAAGATGTGATCTCCCTAGTGTTGTCATATCCTGGAACCAACTTCTCCTCATCCTTGTGTGATTAGAAAGCAACGATGATCTCTGATTTCTGCCCAAGCATGAGTGTGTGCATATGGAGAGTGTATATATATTAATTAATACATGGAGTTACATCTCTGCAATAAAAGCGTTTTTACATTTCAAAAGACTAAATTTACATATGCTAAGTTACATCTAATTTGTTCCCCAAGTTACATTTCAATAAAAGCAGTTTACATTTCAACTAGTTACATGTGAGTGAGTGCAATTTACATTTCGATTAACTTGAAGTTACATCTCGAACCACATGAGTTACATTTCATACAACCATGGGTACATGGTGTTCACCATGCACCGGTTGCACGGTATAAAATTATAATCTTACGAATGTTGTTTAGTCATATTGAAATGTTATCTTTAATTGCATTTTAAAAACATAAATACTTTCTCAACTAAATTAAAATCATATACGGAGTATAAGACCTTAGCCTATTATAATATTCCTAACAAAGAAAATAATTTTTAAGAAGTGTGTGTAATTTATATAATCATATCGGGGGTGTTTGGTTGAGAGCCTATCAGTCATTTTTTGGCTGGTTTGACGAAAGTTAGCCTTTTGACTAGATCAATCAGCCAATAAATGTGTTTGATCAAATAGCATTTTCAATTGGCCTTTTGCTCCAAACAGCCAAAATCTGAAAAGCCATCAATTGAATTGTGTATGTATTAAGATGTTTTTACTTGGACTCTAATCTGTCTCAGACCATATCAGATCAGGTCAGAACAGAACAGATCAGACAAAGAAATACAAAGAAATACAAAGAAATCATACCAGATCAGTTCAGACCAGACCAACAGATTATAGTCCAAGTAAAATACATCTTTACTCCGTATCTAATTCGTGTTCCACCTTATAAAGGTTGATGAACCCCTCACACTTTTAAAATTTTGAAGTATTTAAATATATTAATGACTAATGAGCTAATGTTAGTTTACGTGTAGTGAAATCATTTTAATTATAAGTTCTTCGGTTGAATCGGTTCAATTTTAGATTTGTCGTTTTTAGAAACAAATTAAACTTGCATTGATCACAATCAAATAGATCAAGCAACATGAATTAATAGATCAAACTTAATCAACAAACATTCTTAAAATGATTATTAACATGAAGAAACATGTTATAATACGACATTCAAATATTACAAATTAAATGTATGCTCTGAGATCAACTAATTAAATTAAAACATGTGGATTAAAATTTTTATTGTTTTAGCTAGGATTACCCATATTCAGAAAGTTTAAAATGTATACATAATTATAAAATCCTACCACAAGTTTAAGAGTACAATCGCAAACCGGGGCAACGTCGTGTGAAACACTAGTGGATTATACTCTGTATGACTGTATCGATTTTTAGCTTCTCAATAGCCTTTCGAATTGAATTTCATATAGTTAAATAAGCATTGCTAAAAATTATTGAAACTAAATATTTTGAAAAACATATACGGAACAGAAGAATCTAATATAGGCCGCGCCGTCTTATAACTTAATCAACAAACATTCTTAAAATGATTATTAACATGAAGAAACATGTTATAATACGACATTCAAATATTACAAATTAAATGTATGAACTCTGAGATCAACTAATTAAATTAAAACATGTGGATTAAAATTTTTATTGTTTTAGCTAGGATTACCCATATTCAGAAAGTTTAAAATGTATACATAATTATAAAATCATACCATAAGTTTAAGAGTACAATCGCAAACCGACGGGGCAACGTCGTGTGAAACACTAGTGGATTATACTCTGTATGACTGTATCTATTTTTAGCTTCTCAATAGCCTTTCGAATTGAATTTCATACAGTTAAATAAGCATTGCTAAAAATTATTGAAACTAAATATTTTGAAAAACATATACGGAACAGAAGAATCTAATATAGGCCGTCTTATACATTGCTATTCTATATTATCTCAATCACACTAAGATTGGGGCTATTCGAAACTTATTGAAGTTATTTTTCGGGTTGAATTGTTTGAATTTATTGTGGAAGACTGTTTTAACTTTTAAGTATCTCTTCATATAATTCTTTCTTGATTTTATTAATAAGAAATTAAATAATTTTTTATGCTTTATTAGATTCAACCATTTCTCTCATTTAACCTAGAATTTCATATATTTCATTAGTCAATTTTGAAGGTTACCAAGCAAACAGACTATACAATCGTCTTTTTTAAAGTACTCCATCATTCATGATTGATGCAAGGACACCATTTCATTTGATAAAATTAAAAGGGAACGGTTGAAACTTGAAAGTGGTCTTATTTGAATGCATATCATCATCATGAAAAATCAGCAAACCCTAAGAAGGCAAAAGAACAAGTTAGTCCTCACTTGCTGAGTCTTATGAGATTCCACCTGATATATCAGTTTTTTTTAATGGAGTACGGAGTACCCCATATATTATCATCCTCATGCATGCAGTTAATCACTATTACAATGGGTAGATGCCTAGTAGGTAGATGCTTCATATATTACTGCGGGTCTATAGTCTACAAATGGCTATTATACACACGTAAAGGTTGTGTTCAAACTGGTTTTGCCATTTTACCATATACACCATATACAGCCCGTTTAGTAACACTAAAATCGGCTGAAACGGTTGATTCTACTGAAATTAATGAAGTTCTAGCTGAAGTGGTTGTATTGGCTGATTCTGTTGATTTATGAAAAAATTATATTTAAAGAGACGGCAGTCAAGCCTTAACTGCGTGCTGGTCAGCGGAGGTGACTGAAGCAATAGGGGTCCGAGAGGTACTGACCTGGGTAAAAGATCAAGGATAGGACAATGTAACGGTGGAAACAAACTCTCTCATGGTTGCTTCAAGTTTATTGGATCCAAATGGAGAATCTTATTTTGATGTAATTATAGAAGATATTAGACATATTCTTTGACTTGAAGCTAATATTGAAGTCACTTATTGTAAACGGTCAACAAACAGGGTAGCTCACCCATTAGCTAGGGCTGCTGACGTGCACTTTGTCGTGGTGTGCACTCAAAATAATTCAATACAACACTTATATGTAGTATAGCGTAGTAAGGTTCGTATCCGCAGGGAAAGGAATACTTCTCTTTTTATAACTAGTAACAAAAGGGGGGGTTAGGTTTGAGTGATTTAATTTAATTAAATACGAAGATGAACGAGTTATGTGGTTTAATTAATGAGGAGACTTGGCTTTGCTTTTATCCACT